TGGAAGCACTGGGGTGTGCCAGTGAGTCTGAAAAGGCTGTTTGATGCTCCGGGAAGGCTGTCAGGCTGGAGTCTGGTGGGCTTGAACCGAGCGGCCCGGCCTCGCCGCGCCTTTTACCCGCTTCTCGTTCCAGGAGACGAGCGTCGCTTTGGGAACCCGGACTCCTTGACTCGACCCCCTATAAAAGCATGTCGGTCGCCAGGTAGGTGTTAGCCTGGAGAGGCCGTTACTGTGCGCACTGCTTGCAAAGGTGCTGAAATGCCCAGGGCCGGAGGAAATGGAGTTTATCGGGTTTTAGCTCCTTTGCGGGTTTTACCTTGGTTCTGGCGTGCGGGTGAGGAAATCCTGCTGCAGTTTTTGTTCCAGACATAAGAGATGAGTGCTGCTTGGCCTTCCAAAGGGACCGATGCCTGTAGGGCATGCTGAAGCCCTTAGGTGGCTGTTTTACCAAGTCATCGCTCGGAACGGTATTTTGTCACAGCATTAAAATGGGGAATACCTGATTTTACTAACACTGCTTGGTTTTCAAAGGCTGAATTTAAATAAATTATTTTGAGCTGCAGAAAGAAATCGCTGTAAGTCTGTACTCCGTACAGTGAACATCATTGCTTATGAGGAAGCACGTAATTGGGGCTTGCCTGCCCTTTCTCTGAAGCACCAAACGTACATTGGTACTTGCTCTTGGACACTGGGCTGGACAAGCTGCTGTGTTAGCTCTGTGGGGTGTCTTCTTGTTTCTTTAGTTATGAAAACTCTATCCTTCTCAAAACTTTAGAGAGATGGTAACTTTGTGTAATACAGTCACGTGGCTTTAGCCTGTTGTTCCATCAGAAAACTGCAAGAAAATTGTGTTTCCTTCCCTTTTAGTCTGTTGGTCTATTTTGAGTTGGACTGTATACGTTATTAGTATGTGGCAATTCTCAGATGGATGAGTCGGGCTAGCCTGAGACTATTCTCCATTCCCATCTGTATTCTTGTGACAGAGCTGTCGCCAACCTCTTGTTACAGCTGCAGCGCGTGGCCTTAATTGTGTGGCGCTGCCCTTGAAAAGAGCTGCTGATATTAAGCTTCAGAAGAGGAATTTCCAGGAGGCATGGAAAAATCTTATCTTGAGGGAGGAAGAGAGAGGTTATGAGTATTTCTCTGGGAAAGTATAAAGGTTTATCCGTGAAAAGAGCTGTGTGAAGCTCTTACTCCCAAATGATGGCTGACAGAGTACTAACGTGCTTAGTATTGTAAATGTGGCTGAGCTGCTTTAGGAGGTACAGATAAGTGGGTTTTTCTTACTGTAGACATCTCTAAAAATGAGGCTGGGGGAGAGATGTCCTTGCCCTACCTCCCCGAGCTCTTAACAGTGGTATTTGATTATAGTCACAACAGATGTAAAAGTTAAGAGACCCTAATGCTTTATATAGAAGGGAAGGAGTAATTTCCCCTCTCACAGTCCTCCCACCTGTAGCTGTACAGTATTGGTTTTTTTTTTCTGCAGAGTTTAGGGGAATGCAGGGTCTGTGAGGCAGCGGGACAAGCGGGGTGGATTTTTATAAGGATGTAATTGTCATGCTTCCCTGAGAGCAGAATGGAAGCAAAACCACAACTTGAGAAACTGGTTTCTGGCTTCTGCTTAGAGGTTTTAAATATAGATTAGGAAACTTGCTTCTAGAGCTAACAAGCTTTAAGAGCCTACAAACCCTGCCTCAAGTCAGGCATCTTCTAGATCAACAAGCTAAAGACAGACGTTAGCAATCTCCGTTGAAGTTGTCTTAAAATATGCAAGTAGAGTGTATGACCGTACCAGTTAAAGGCAAGCGCTAGGTGTTTTTGGCACTCGAGTTTGTGCTGTTTATAGTTGCTGTGGAACATTGCAGCAAGTGTGTCGTAGGCTTATCTTTGTGTTGAAAAAGATTGAACCCACAGGGATGGATATGTACTAGACTTTAAAGAAAAAGTTCCACGGTGTTAAAATAGTGGGTTTATATTTTGGATTATAAACCTGTAGTTTATGAACTTGCAGATTTCTAATCCCTTTGATTAACCTGCCGTATGAAATGGGGATAGTAAGAAGATCACTCTCTCTTGGGGGGTGACTGTGTGGTAGGTCACAGGCTAGCAGGTTTTAAGGTAGATTGGAAAATCCTCACTGACTGCCTGGGTGGCAGGAATGATCCTTTGGGTAGGAGGCTTAAGGCCTTGTAAGGAATGAACAGGCGTGTCTGGACTGGAATTGATATATATTTCTAGAAACTTAGACTTCATCAAGGAGGAGTTTACTTTTCTCTGTAGGGGATGCCATGTGTTCTGTCTGCTTGCACTAATACTCTTCCTGTTGGTGATACCCGCTGTTACAGCAGGTGCTGATTCACAAGCTGTCCTCATGTGAGAAACACAGTTGTATATATTTAAGTCTTTCCTTTTTACAACAACTTTTAAGAATGCTTTTGAGAGAGAGAGTACTGATTGCTGCAAAGAAGGGGAGAGGAATTAAAAAGTACAGACTGCATGAGTAATCCCCTTTAGATTCGTAGATCTTTCTGGTCTTGTGATTACTAGCCACCACTACTAGTGAGATTTTTCCTTGCAAAACGTCAGTACACAGTGAAATATTATGGGTATGTTGTTTGGCATTGCTGAAGATCAAGTAATTTGGCAAGAATCTTCATTCTTAGCTTGGTAGGAAATCAGTCACTTAACAGGTTTTTAAGAAGGTTTTGAAAATACAGTATCCCACTCGCTATGTGCAAATACTTTACTGTGGTACCTGTGACTTAATATTTCAGTTTAAAACTTAAGGTTTTCTCCCTTGTTTGTGTTTTGGGTGGTTTTGTTTGGTTGGTTTGGGGTTTTTTCCCCTCCTTTGTATGCTTCACATACACTGGCATGCTAAAGCTGCCAGAACGTATTAGAAAAAGGCTCTTTTCTTTTCTTGAAGTACAATTAATAAACACCAGGTGGCAAGCTGTGTGTTGCCCTCACCTGCACGGTAAAAGAGCTGTAGAAACACATTAAACCTTGGGAGAACCCACTACTGTTAAAAGAATAAAAGGACCCAGTGTGAATGTTGCAGAGAAACAAATTTTACCAATTGTATTCTTCCTTTGCCGTTTCCTCTGCTTATGCCCTTAAGCTTGATGGCTGTGTGATGGTTTCTGTTCCACAGCTGTACTACAGCTTTCATTCCACACCTCAACGTTTCCCCCCCTCCCCTTCTTGAATCTGGGCAACCATGTGGTTGCACTTTATCCTTTCAAACATCTCCTGGTGTTCTGCTTTTGACTGGCTTTCCAGCCCTGACCTTTGCTCTGTGACTCCTGTCGTCATACAGGGCTTTATTCTTTCTAGTTAGTAATATTAACTAAGTTGGATTTCAGCATCTGAATGGCTGTGTAGTTTGGCAAACAATCTAAAGGTGTTGGTTTAGATTCTTCCCAGTTATTTGAGGGGATTAAATTAGGAGGATAGGTGCCCTAGATTCTCATTATGGTTAATGAGAGAAAGAGACCCAACTAAAGGATGGCTTGGACTACAGAAAAAGGGGACTTATGTTCTGTATTTGTTTCTCTCACCTTTTCCCCTCTGCCTAGTGCTATGGAAGACAGCACAATTATTGTTTGTAAGTCGTGTGCCCAAAGCTGTGGGAAAAACCTCTCTTTACTCCCATGCTTGTGTATTTACTAGTTTATACTGAATCCCTTTAGTGTAAGGCATTTCTTGGCTCTTAGCATTTGGTGTCTTGATGTCTGGGGTTTTTTCAAGTGTTTTTAAGCCAAGGACTCCTAAAACCAAACCAAAACAAAAAAAGCATGTGGTGGTGTAGACAGCTATATTTGTAGTGAACTCAAATTTACAGTAAGCGTTTCAAGTCTTAGTTGCTTTTGGTTACATTTTAAGAAAGTAACTCTTGGGAGATCACAACTTGAAAATCACCGATTTAGATCATGCATGTTCTGAAACTATGTCTCGGTCCTTCAGTTTTGTGGTAATATGAGCACAAATGATACTGCACCCATACCAATACGCTTTTTTTTTTTTTCCTTTTCCCTTTTTTGCCTCCTTACAGGCAGTTCTTCAATTTACTTTCTTCAAGAGAATTCAATAAAGGAAAAAGCAAAGGCTTATGACAGTAATGAACCCAAGAAACCAGCAGGGTATCAACCAAATATTTATACACCACTAAAAGGTAACAACACTAGTTTTACCAGTACCTTTTCTGTGACATAACAAATAATTGCTTAAATGTGCTAAAATGACATTCTTTCCGTTCTCTTACAAAAGGAGGAGTTGTTGAGTTTAAAAAAAAAAAATAATTATTTCAGAGTGTACTCCTGCCCAGAAGTCAAATTAAACTGATTGTAGTATAGCAATCATCTGCTTGGCTGTAAAATCTTAAATTTCAAGAAGGCACAGTTTTAAAATTTGATAAATACCTAGCTGTCTGTTTTTTGAAAAGCAAAACAAAAAGATGAGTAATATCATACCTGCTTCAAAACTGTTATGAGAGTGGATCTTTAATTGCCTCAGGCAAAGCAAAACAAAACCATTCTTTTTCTAAAAAGATGAGTTATTTTTGATTTTAGCAGGGGGAAGCTTGACTATACCAAGTGATTTCAAAGTGAGGGAGCACTTTTTCTGTTCATTGCTCAAGAGATTTTTCTCCGTGTGTGTTACAGAAGCAATGGGGAAATACAATGAGGAAGAAAATATGGGATACTTTTTAGCCCAGGAGAAGGTAGTTATGTTACTACAGGTGGTTGGAATACCTCCAAATAGATACGCTATGTGAGGGAGGTTTTTAGGAGAGCAGGTAACTGGTCAGAGAGCGAGGTATGGCTTGCATTCGTTTGGTCAGTAACGGTCCTAATCACACAGTGTTTATGGGAGAGCACTGAAAGCAATTGTGAGTGTAGACTGACAAAACACAGCCGTGAACCAGGTAGCTGAGATGTGCACAAGAACACATCTAGGTCAGCCTGCTGTTTGGCAGACATTTTGCTCAGGCTGCTAAGAACGTGCCCATGTTTGCTGGAGCCCCCTCCGCTCTGATAGCAGTGGTGTCAAGGTGGTAGCTTTACACTGTTTTATTCCTGGTTTTCCCTCCTGCTGACTAGTTTTGGTTTCAGCAGTGACAAATCTGGTACCCTCCATTAGCAATCAATTAACGCTGCTAATTTCCCATCCTTTGCATTTTATCGTTATTGCATCATTACTTTTTTAAAGAAAAAAAAGGAAGGATAATTTTGTGTCATATTGGGAAAAGGGCCAAATTAAGCCCTTTGTATTAGGTAATAGTAGCTCTATCCATCTACAGAGGGGTCCAAGAGGCTGTCGTACGGCACAGGCTTGGTTTGGCAGCCCAGCATGTGCTCCTTCCCTAATAACCTTTGAAGATTTCATAGAAAGAGCTAAAAGCGTGTATAGCTTGTCCGTCTTATTCTGACCTCTGATGTGATAACCAAGTTCTTTCATTTGTGCTTTGGTTTCAGAAAGAAAGGCTGACTTCCTTGAGAAGAATCAAGAGTACCGCTCAACTACATCACAGAGTAAGTCAAAAACCAGATACGTAGTCTTTCCCTGTAATTAAGTGAAAAGTACAGAATTCTTTTTCTTCTGCTTATGGTTTTTCTTGTGCCTTGGGACACTCTGTCTGGGAAGGTGGAAAGGGAACACAGGTGGCAGATCCAAATGGAAGCTGGAGAAAACAGCACATTCCAGAGCCAGAGCCCTTCTGTGAGGTTATTCAACTTCCTGACCACAGAGAATGACCCACTTTTTCTTTTGCTTTTTTGGCTCTGTTAGGAAATGAGTTGACTCATGGGACAATCAGTAAGTGCAGAGCATGTACTGGTGGCATTGTGGGGGTGAGCTAAGGAAGGGAACAAAACCTTCACCTTTTGGTAGCGGTGAATGTTAGATTAGTTTGTACACATCGCCTTCCCTTATAGCCTTCCCTGAGTAACGGTGGCCTTCTATGATTGAATTAGTTGCCATGCACTCCTGGACAGGAGCAGCATTTTTCTTTGCTGGCAAACTCCAGTCTGTTCATCTAATGACCAATTCCTTGTGTTTCAGATTTTTATCTTTGGTTGTTTTTGTGGATTTGTTGGTTTGGGTTTGGTTTTTTTTGTCTTGGAAGAGTACTTGAAAGAAGGGGGGAGGAAAAGGTGTTCTGAATTCTTACTAGCCTTCTGTTCTTAATATCTTGTAAATCCAAATTCAGTCTGGAGAACCTGAGGGTTGTTTGGGGCTTTTTTTTTTTTGAAAACCACAGTGCCTCCTGGAAGAGAAGCTCGTCTTGTGGTAGCTGCATATTGGTGAAACATGTTTGAAAAATGAATCGAGGCAGGGAGTTCTTGCTAATCTGGTACTTTTTCTTTCCTGTGCCAGAGGTAATAGGTGCCGCAGGAGTGCAATCAGTTGTGTGTTGGGCGAAGAACTCTGGAATATCACTTGAAATTCTGAAAGCTCTAAGGTGTCTGCAGAAGTTATGCCTTTAGAGTTAGGCAAGACAAATAATCTTCTTGGCCTTCGTGCAGATTGTGTTGTAAATAAGGCAAGATTCTTAGGTAGGAGAGGATCTGTTTTCAGGCTGTTTATTGAAATATTTTTTCCTTTAGGGTATGGATCGCAGCTGTCTCCTTAATCTGAAACCTAGTCTCTGCAAACAGGGCTACGTTTACAGAATATTACAGAATGGAGGTGATTTTGATCTGTTAACTATTAGGAGACTTGTATAAGCTTAGCCGGTTACAAGCTCCAGGTCTGTGCCCTATCAGGGAGTGGGGTTGAAATTACAGAATAGCGTAGCTCATTAAGCCAGTTAAGCTCTGGCTTAAACCAGAGCTGCTTTTAGCACCTTCTGCTATTACATTCATACAGAAACAAGGTTATAGAACTTATTTTAATGTTCTTGAAATAACTCCTGTAGGGTGTGTTTGTTCAATTTGTTCTCAGTAATGCCATTGATGGTATCCTGATTTGGTTATATGTTATTAAGGAGCCTTCAGCTTTGAACCAGTTGCTGCAGTTCACAAGAAGCCAGAAATTCTCGTGTCTTTTTAATTAACTGACTAAAATGCAGAAAACATGCTGACCGATAATTGCACTGTATATATTCATACTGGTCTCTTGGGAAAGTTGTTCCTAACACTCTTTTGTGGATAATGTCTCCTGTACTTTGATGTCTGAGCCTATTTAAATAAATATTCCAAAAGTATATTTTGAAGTTGAAAGCTTGCATTTTGCTTTAAAAGCACAATTCATCCCAAGAAACTGACTGCTGATGAAGCAGGCCTCTGTCCCAGGCTAGATGGAGAGGGGATACGAGACTATGCCTTTAAGATATCATTTTGCTTTTGCTACTTATATTTTGCATTATGTTGCTTTTCCAATACATGTGTTAATTGAGCTTCCATTTTTCTGTCCCTCAAATTCTTGAGCAAAATCAGGAAACTTAATTGGGACACAGGATCCTTGTGCGGAAAATAACAGGTTGTTAAATCTCTGCCGTTTTGTTATCTTGTACGTGAAATGCCTCCGTTTTTATTTGCGTAACTTTTCAAGAGTTAAAAATCTTGGGGGGTGATTTGTGATAGCTTGGGGACTGGTGCTTTTTATGCAAGATTGTCAAGATGGCTTAAGAACTGACATTTGGCAAATAGCGTAGATGGAGAGTTGGTCTGGCAGTTGAACACGACGTAACAGGTTACTAATAGCGGTGAATGTGTCATTTTCCTTGTTCAAGACTAGCCTCGCTTGAGGGCGAATGATGCAGAAAAGAACAGAAAGCCCCGTACTTGATACAGCCCTACCCAGGATGAGATCACAGTCTCGCCTTTCCTCCTCCTTAGCAGGACTGCATTCCCTTCAACAAGGTGTTACGCAAGGGTGCTTTGTTAACCTTCCTGTAAGCTTTCTAGAATTTTGTATGTAAAAGCATAACCAAGAAAAGCTTTTTGTTGAAAATAATGCAGCTTGGTGATTTCAACTCCCTGCTGAATTCCCTGCTGGAAGATTGGTTATAATTGTTGTCTTAGTATTTTTCTCACGTTCCTTTCTTAATTTCTTAACAGGCAGAAGCAAATTTCGAGATCAGTCCAGTATAGGGAAGCAGTCACAGCCTTTGGCCAAAAGTAAGACTTCTGCTTTCACTTCTATTTCATGCTTGTGTTACATTTAACCATTTTCATGCCTGTCCAAGTATTAGATTTCCTGGTAGCTGGTGGTAAACTGAGGGTCCTTGCCAGAACAGATGACATGCTTGCTAGGGCGTGTGTTTTCAGCACGAAGGAAGGAAGGAAGGGTGTTGTATAATAGGTAATATTTCCACCTGAATTTAAGGTCTTCCATCTGTAGTGTTTACAAGATTTGCTACACAATTAAAACTGAGGCAGGCCGAGCGGTGTTCTTATTTAACAGTTGTTGTCCTGATAAAAGTTAGGACATAAAAAGGTAGCGTAAGGTATACAGTGCTTCCTTGTTTCCAGGGAGCTTGATATATTTTGTTGCTAGTCTTACTGGGAACATAATTGAGCCTTATGCTTGTAGTAGGTCAAACAAGGGTTAATTTAACTGTTCAAATACAAACCCAAATCAAAATATTTGATACTCTGTATGCTTCCTGTGTGCTGCTTGCTGTGTGTACTCTTTGTGACGCTGACTGATCCAAAGACCACAAATGTTTTCTGATAGTGTTCGTCACCGGTGTTTGAAATGCAAACCTGCTGCAGAAACTATTTTTATCCTTACGAGGTTAGGGAGGAGAAATAACAACACACAACCCATTCTGGTGATGCCAGGTTTTGTGTAGGGCTTTTTCTGCCGAGCCTAAATGTAGGAAAAAGCTTGACCTTTTTCAGAACTGTTTTAAGCTCTTAGTCTGGATTTGATTAAATAGAATGGAGTATTGATAAACCTTCAGAAGAGCTCCTTTTTCAGAAGAACGTCCAATTTCTTAGTCAATCTGGAAATGCATAAAAATGTCCTTTTTTTAATGCTGTCACTTCACTAAGTTGCTAAAGAAGTTCAAAGTTGTTTGTTTGTTTAACTAGAACGTCGTCTTTGTGCTCTTCAACTGCTGCACTAGTAGCTTGAGAGTGGGATGAGAGTTCATTGAATTCTACTGTTTCTTCTTATTTTCGTCTCACTTGTTGATTTCTGATCCCTTTTAAAACATTGTTTTCTTCCTGTTTGCTCCTCCTTTGTATAGATGACGGTGAATCGCAGAGTGGATTTCACAAGAGCTGGACTTTGTTACTGGTTCTGTTAATTAGTGTCCCATCGCTTTATGTCTTGTGGAGTGGAATGCCAAGTCTTCTAGATGCAACTTTGTCAAGTAGAGATACTCAAATTCTGCAAGCGTTTCGGGCCCGAATGAAGAAACTAAAAAATACTTACCAAAGTCAGCACCCCAATCTGTGGAAAAGAACCCACGTCTTCCTTGAGAAACATCTCAATGCTTCCCATCTGCATTTAGAGCCAGCCATCTTACTGTTCACAGCTGGCCAAGAAGCTGAGAAAGCACTGAGGTGCCTAAGTAACGAGATTGCCGATGCCTTTGCCTTCTCCCAGAATGCTACTACCATCAAAATTAATGGGGCAGACAAAGCCATATTGGATAGTGACATTGTCAAGCTGGAGGTAGATGATGAGCTCAGCTCTGGGTTCAGAGAAGGCAAGAAGGTAGCAGTGGTGCATCGATTTGAGTTACTACCCGCAGGCTCCACCTTAATCTTTTACAAGTACTGTGACCATGAAAACGCAGCATTTAAGGATGTGGCTCTTCTGCTGACAGTTCTCCTGGATGAGCAGTCGCTGGGAAAGAGCCTCACCTTACAAGAAGTTGAGGAGAAAGTCCGGGATTTCCTCTGGGCAAAGTTTACCAGTTCAGATGTTCCTAATTCTTATACTGGCATGGACACAGATAAGCTGAGTGGACTGTGGAGCCGTATATCTCATCTTGTGTTGCCTGTTTGGCCTGAAAAGGGCCTCCCTGTGGAGGGATGCACATAGAAGTTATTGGAGAGCATTTGGGAAAGGAGGAAGGCAGAAAATGTAGGTTGCAGTGGCTGAACAGGGAAGAACTTGTGGCTGCTGAGCTCAGGCAGTGTACAGTCTTTTCTGTGCAGAGAAATTCCACCAACTGGCAGGGTGGTTTCTGTTAAAGTAGCTGAGACTTCCCTAAATCAACTGCAGGGTGTAAGCAAGGAACTTGCTGTTTGTTGGTAAGTTGTGTTCAGTGACTTACTCAGGCTTGGTGTCCTGGAGATGGAAGTAAGGTGTCCAGTAGTGCAGAATCACTCATCTGCTTCTGAAGCTGTCTTGGTGTGCTATCGGCTTTGCTATGAGGATCCTTTTCTGATGGTACGCAAAGCTGTTTGAAAAAGTAATAGGATGCAAAAACGTCACCTTCATCTGCCAGAATTGCTTACTTTTCTTCTAGCGTAAGAAAAAAAACCCATAAACTGAAAATGATGATAAAGTGATGTGAGTCTAAGCACAAGGTTTTTCTTGATTTGTCTGATCACAGCATAGATGTCAGCTGTCTCTGGCAACTTCTAGAAATGGCAAAATTGCTTGAAAGATTTGTGACTTGTAGAGAACCTTTCAGTAAGCATTTCTTGCTTAAATGAGTCTGTCTCAAACAGTTCTGGAGAGTGAGAAAAGCTGAGGTTCAAAGGATTGCTTAACATTAGTAGTACTGACTTCAGTTAAATAATCCCTTAGCACCTCTTTGCCTCGCTGCTTCTGGGAATTTGTCAAAGTTCTGCAAGTCTTAAAATTTGGGAGAAAATGATAAAATGTCAGCTGTGTGTGTACTATTTCCTTTCCAAACAAAAGTTTAGGAAGACATAGGTTATTTCTCATTTTAATAAGATAAGTATTTTTGCATCAAGAGAATTTATTTATTTGTGGTACTTGGTATTCTAGAAAAATAACGTACCTTTATGTGTCTGCATATAAACAGCTGCTTGCTGTATAAGCTTCTAGTGAAGAACAGATTTGCAATGCATGTTTTTAAAATGCATTTTTTTAGCGTGCCTCATGCTGAGGATCCCTCACACCAGACTAAAAACATGTACTTGTTTCTATTCTAAGTATTTTGTGTAAAAAAGAATAAGAGAATTGCAGCACTTCCATTTCATTGCTGTTACTGTATGCTCTTGAACTATTGGTTCATGTGCATTTAGGTTTTTTGAGTATGAAGGAACGTGTAAAGACTGCTCTCAAATGAATCGGACTTTTTCTTTGTAACAGCTGAGAGATGAGTGGCTCCTGGACTCATCCTTTATTCACAAGCCCCTTTAGCTGTCTTATTGCAAAAAGTCCTTCTTAACTAGGAAAACCTCTTGAGGTGCTGGAGCTTCTGGCTTTTTTGTGCAAGAAAAGGTTTGGGGTGTTAGTGGAATGGACCAAAATCACCTTAAGCATATAAAAGAAGACAGTTTGAGAGACACAGAGCTATGGTCACTTAAACCACAGGTGCATTTGTTCTAACCATGGAGAGCCAGCCATTAAATTTTTAATTTAATGGGAAAAAATATAAACAGTAAAAAGACATGGAAGTGCTGCTGTTCTGGATGTTTAAGATAGCTCAGGAAGGAAAAGATGGCATTTACATTTTGGACATTTCACTGGACAAATGTTTTTAAAAAAACAACTGTGACTTACTTCCAAGTGTGTCCTGATAGCATATTTGTTTGTATATTATGTAAACTATTTTAGTAATCATTAAAAATAAATATACTCATTTGTTTTATAAGCTGTTTTAAGATTTGCCGATTGAATTTTAAGTGGTCAGACTTTTTTTTTTTTACATGTTTAAGATTGTTCCTTTTACCTTTGACCAAATACAACACCTAAAATACAAGGTTTTGCAAAATTCAGAACTTAAAAAACTTGAGTGGAGTGGTAGATACTGGGATGCAGATGCACGTATTTGATAATATCAAGGCTTTTCTTTAACAGGGAACATTTCAGGAAATTGTAATAGCTCTGAATTCTTTTACTTGGTGTTCTTGTACTAATTCCTCAGTTCTGATTTCAGCTGGAACTAATGATAAGATATGGTTCACTTGTTTCATTAGTCCCTGGAACTAATGATAAGATATGGTTCACTTGTTTCATTAGTCCCATACAAGAGTCAGCAGCTGACAAAAGGGATGACTTCATTCTTGTTCCACTCCTAGCTGCCTGTTCCTGTACCTCTGCTGTTGCAAAGTAGTGCACTGTGAACTGACTGGAGGGACGGTCTTAGTAAAAACTAGCTTAGAAGAAAGTTCATAATTAGCAGAATTGGCCACCACAAAAGAAGACTAACTTATGACATGAAGGCAGGAGATTCCATGCTCTTATAGAAATAAAACATACGTAATCCAGGTTATTTTCTGTTTCTAAAACTGCCCCCTGATTATGGGGTATTAAAGAGCTATGTTCTCCTGTTTGAAGACAAAATACGAAGGTGTCTGGAAACTGAAGACTTAATGTTCTACTTAATGTTGTGCCAGACAAAGGAGAATCATTTTTCTTTTTAT